TTGAAGTTTTTTTTCAAAAGATATTTGAATCAAATTAGCACCCGAGCTTATATCTATACACGAAAAATGCTCATCATATAATTTCATATTTGAAAAAAAAAAAGTTTGTTTAGAGTTTCACCAGAATCGATGTGGCGCAATTTATTTTTCGAAACTTGGAAACAAAAAATGGGTCATTTGGCTGTTTTTAATGAAAATATACGCTGAGTCTACTAATTTGGACTAACTTTTTGCTCATTTTAATAATTGAATTATACAAAGTTAAATATGAACTTTTCGAGCAAAAAAAAATTGATTTTGATCGTGTAATAGGTTTTTCTGCAAAACAAGACCCCCAAAACGTTAAATATGTTCGAAGGTAGTTTCTGATTTACTAATATTTTCATGGTGCTTTAATTTTTTCCCCTAATTACCTTTGATAAAAAAAATTACTTATATTTGTTGCTTTTTACCGCCGCAATTGCTATGGATATCACAAAAAACAGTAAGAAACTTGTTGCGCTGTGAATATACAGAATTATGTTTTGCTTTTTGCCCCTTAAGTTTTTTAACTGCGGTTTTTCAACAAATTAAACAATAAATTTAAAATTGTTTCAAATGGAAAATAGAAAAATAGCAAGTATTTAATAGTTGTTAGCGTCAAAAGCCTAAGAGCTCGTTTTCACATATTTTAGTTCGAGCAAAGCTAAGGTTATTGATGAAAACTTAAAAAATTATTCTCGGGATCTTGCTAATTTTTTTGTATCAGGTTTTTTTTTGCTGTGTGGCAAGTTTTGTAGCCCCGTTTTCAGGGCAAAAAACAAATGATGAAGTTATTTTTTGCTTGTAATAACTACCAAGATAACCCACCCCTCACTTTCAATATAATGATTGAAGTGAGGGGGTGTGCTAAAAACTTAAGTGGAAGGGAGAGGGATAAACTGGGCAGAGGGCGTAGGGGTGGGTCTGGTAAGCTAGTTAAGGGAAGGGCACTTTTTTGCTTGTAAAATCTGTAGAAGGCATCGTATAAACCGTTTTTTTATCATTCTATTGTCAGTAACTGCGTCTAAGAAAAGTGAAAAAAAATGATTATAATGGATTTTTGTGGTCTAAAACATTGTTAATATAATCGATTCCCATGTTAGGCTTAAGCAACAAAATTGGATAAAAAAATACATCTAAATCCATTTCTTCTCGCAAAAACATAAAGCAATATATTTCCTTTTTTTCCATTTTGTTTTTGTTTCGCATTGTGCAAAATTTTGAAAGAATTTCTGCATTTATGAAATGATTAATGCGAAATTTTCACCTGCACCATCTGAACCATCACCCTACCTGAACCAACAACCTCCCATCTACTTGAACCCCCCTCTGATCCGGTTCAGGTAATGTGCGTGTGGGGCGGGGTTGGTTTAGTTGGGATCCTTTTGGAGAAGGGGTTTGGTTCAGATGAGGACAGGGCTGGGATTGGTGCAGGTGGGGATGGCGGGTGTAAGGGTACAATGGAGAGCAAGGGGGCAAGTATTGGGGGGATGTAAGCGAGCAATTATTGAAAGGAACAAAATTCAGTTATTGAGTAACATAAAAAAGTAACAAAAATATCAAAGTTTTAAGATAATCAAAAATAACCAACTTTAGTTTAAAACGCAGAAAAAATTTTATGCGCGTTAAAATTCGCATCTCAATAAAGTGGAACAAAAAAAATTGATTATAATTGAGTTTCATTGTCAGTGTCTGCAAAAGTAAAAAAAAATCGATTATAATGGATTAAAAATAGATTTTGTTGACTCGAAAAACAGTAATATTAAAATCCATTTTTATTGATTATGATCGATTTTTTTTCTTTTTTGTAGACACTGACTGTGAAACTCAATAATAATCGATTTTATTGAATATATCGAATATATTCATAAAATTAGAAAATAAATTATTATAATTTGTTAAAAATGGAGTATACTCTTAATAATCTTTATGTCAATATAATACATTATATTATAATAGATTATACACAATTATATTGGATTTTTTGAGAAGTTATTGGTTAGAATGACAACTGTTTTTCTACAATCTCATTTCCTTTTTTTGCGCATTGCGTTCCGTAATTAGAACATTTCACTGTAGATTTATATATTTCTTCTTTCTCTTCTTTTTCAATTCACAATTTATGAGATTGGGGTTAATGGTTGAACGAGGTGGAGGGGGGAGATCATTTAATGGTTCAATGGGGAGTTACTCAAAGTAAACGCCACTTCTTTTACCAACCTCCTCCATTTTATCCCCTCCCCTCTAACTTACCCCCCCCCCCCCATATTTTCTAAATGTAATTGAAGGGTCAAAAATTAGGGGGATTGGGTGAGGGCTTAAACTGGGAAAGCGGTAAACTGTAACATGGGGAGCATGGTTGGTAAACTTTAGCAAACAAGGGACGGGCTGGTTTGCTTGTTATTATCACGCCAACGATTAGCAAGCGTTATCTAACCGGAATATACAGTGCTGATTTAAATTAACCGGACAAAATGCGTTTAACTTGAAATTTAAAATACGTTTTTCTCAAATTGGGTTGAGTTTAGGTGAAAACTTATGAAGACAAAATGTTAGCAGAATTAATATGGTGTAATTTGTTTTGCGAAATTCGGTCCCGAAAATTTCTCCTCAAAAATGGGTCATTTTGGTTTTTCTTAGTTAATCAAAACTCACGCCAAAAACACCCAGTCGATCACAGACATAATTATATCAAAGTTAGCAACTTACGTAGCCCAACAAATTTTAACAAGGGTTCATTAATTCTGCTAAAATTTTAAGCAAGTTTTGTCTTCATAACTTTTCAACTTAACTTCAACAAATTAGAAACAGTCCTCGCCACCGGAAAAATCAAATTTTTGATTTTTTTTACTGTTTTTCTTGTAAATTTTTTGCCTTTTCTCGCAAACATTTCTAAAAACTTTTGACCCAAAGAAAAATCAGTTTTGCTATGTTTTATCGTTTTTTGAAACTATTTGAATTTTCTCGTACGGTGAACTGCAAAATCTGATTTTTAGGTTAGGATGCAGGGGAAGGGTGGATGAACTGTGTAAGGGTTGGTAAACTTCACCAAAAATGGAGATGGTTTTTTGCTTGTTTTAATTTTAAAAGAAAAATAATATGAATATAACACTGAAAAAATTGAATATAATCGAATACAACGGGTTATGATGGGTTTTTATTTAAAAAAAATCATAATATTGATAAACTTGACGCAAAATAATCGATTTCAAGGCCAAAATTAATGTAGAAATAATCTATTATAATCGCGATATAACCGATTTCATAGTCTGATTTTTACATTTGTAATAAAATATTATTGAATAATTTCGTTCCATTATCCATTATAAAAGTGTATTATCCATTTTAGTGTATTATAAATCCATTAAAATACACTAAAATGCATGCTAAAGATTTATGGGCGCTCGGTTCGGGCAGCAACAGAAAATTTTTGCTTATTGCCGATACTTAAATTCTATAAGAATTGTTAACTCATCTGTTTTTTGTAATATTTTGCAGTCATTTATTTCACATGGCTCAAAACTCAGCTTTGTTTGTGCGTATAATTTTATTTTTATAAAAACAATTGCTTCTGGAATAGTATTATTTTTTAAATTTTTTGAATAATCTTATAAGAATTCTTTCGAAAGTCTTTTCGCTGAAAGTAATGCCCATTTGATCTTGTTGTTGAAGGATTTTAAAGTTTTTTTAAGAACCAGTTTTTCCCAATATCTTTATCAGATGTAATTCATCCGATACTTAAAATTTTTAGCATGTTTGGCAATCTTCGTAATACTTAAAATTTAAGAGAAAAAAATCGAAATGAAAGTACGAGCTTCCGCGTAATTTTACAAAATGTGAACATTGTACGCTTTCAGAGAACAACACTCCGTATATAAAAGCAGAGCCGTGAAAATACTGACTGCCCCTAAACGTAACTGATGTCGTTTTTGGCAAAAAAGTCAAAACATTGTAATTTATTAATGGAATTTTCTTTAATCCTCTCCCATTACAAAATTAAAAGCAGTAGCAGATTGAGGGGGGCAGGGCGGGAGGTGGATGCCTCTTTTTTCAGGGATTTTACTCCGTCGACGCAATAGGGTCTCCCTTTATATTATTTTGTGATACCCATTTTTGACTGACGGATTTTCTAAAGACGCATTTGGCTCCATTATATACTATTTTTGAGGAGTGAGCGCGCGCCAAAAAAAATGCAATTTTTTGGTCAAAACTTTCCAAAAAGTGCCAAAATTTTCAAAAATTTGACCAAAATAGGGTCTTTTTTGTGATTTGGGAGAGCTCGTATTTTATTTTTTTTTAGAAAATTCGCCTGCCTTTCGAGAAAGTCCTAAGTCCGCCCCTGATTAAGAAAAAAATTAAAAGGTTTTTCTCTCGTAACGCGTTACTTCGAGTATTCAGCTCAACTCAATTCAATTTGGAACAATTTTTGAGCCGGACTAACTCGCTGCCTACATAACCCGTTGATAGAAAATTGGAAGTTTCTGCAAATAAGTTCCTCCAAATTGGCAAATGTCTATTTATCTTCAAACTCCAACAGTTTAACGCCCAATAATCGCAGGTAAAGCATCTTTTAAAAAAAATTAAACTCACGGTATCAAAATCTTTCAGATTATATAAAAATATCGGTCAAAAACTGTGATAAAATGGCGCTTGTCTGATTAAAAGAATCTCACACCGAGACTAATATTCTTTCTTTTATTGAAACTCGGGACAAAAAAGCTAATTAAAAGACTTAAAAAATCAAGAATAGATATAAAAAGAAAAAAAAGCATTGCCAGAAGCACTAATGCCATCTTACTACCAAAATAGATCTGAGAGGTTGTGTTAGATTAAAAAGATCACTGTGGTCTGTCCATAAAAGTATTCACATTAAAAATAAAAAAGATTGTAAAATTTAAAAAAAACAACTAGATTGAATACAAATTTTCAGCGTTCTCTAATTGTATTCAGTGAACCAAAACTATAACTCGTCTTTGAACCAAGAAACATGTTAAAGCATGCTTTAATTTGAAAAACAGAAGTTTACCACCACTCAAATTTTGTTACTCATATTTTTGGTTAACATATTTAAAAGTAAGAATAAAGCTATTTGAGTGTGAAAACTTCACGTCGATTCAAAACATGTCTTCGTACTCGAATCGAACAAGCAACTTCAGCAGTGCATCTGTGAGTCCTCGGGGAGGCGCAACTCCGAGTGCAATCGGGACGTCAACGCCGACGATGCGGGGATACAACATGTCTTCCGAGACTCCTGGAAGCGGGCATCTTAGTGGGTCGGCAACTCCAGGGGGATACCAGAGTTCGGTGAGTCAGATGTCAAACGTTACGGCGGGGTCAACCGAGGGCAACAACCTTTATCTGATTAGTCCGACGTCAGCTGCTGTTGTGAATCTTCCTGTTGAGCCGACATCATTTGCACCTGTGGAAATTGACACAAACGACGTAAGTTTAAATAAAAAGTGTCAAAAGATGGAAAAGAGAGAAATAACTAAAAGAGAAAACGTTTGATTTCTGTGTTTTGCCAGCAAAATCTCAAGTCAGAAAACCGTTGTAAGAAAAAATTCGAAATTTTTGCCAGAAAACTTAGAAATTTGAGTCGCTTTCCGAGATATAAGCACAAGAGCGGCCAGAAGTAGTTCGTTGTTGTTCGACCATTCGAAAAATAGAAAATAACTAAAAACTAGGGCCGGTTTTTGATTTTTTCCTAGCCAATTTTGACTGCCTCAAAGAAAACACGCTGTTCGGCTGTTCGTCTGTCGAGATTAACTCGGCTGCATATATTTTATCCGTCTTAGAAATCGTTCCAAATTGGTTCAAGGAAGCTTATGTGCCATAATTGATTTGTTAATAGGAGCAAAACTTATCACTTAGTACTTATTATAACGTGTGGGGAGATAATTTTTTCTTTAAAAAACTTTCAAATTTTAGAAAAAAAAATTATATTTTATTTTATTACATATAATTTTTTTTTGTTATTACTGCTTCATAAAACTTAAAAGGCAGTCAGAACATTCAGGGCTTGGCCCTGATACGAGCAGTCTTGTTTTTCTTTATTTTCTATTTGTGTTATTTTTTTGTTCAGATAAAGAATTCCGTGTTCAGGCTAAATAAGCAGAAAGACCATGAAATTTGTTAAGATTTGCAATCAAATTACTTTTGTATCAGTGAAATTGACAGGTTCTCCGTTAATTTAATTTTATTTGAACATTTTTTTATCAATTTATATCAACCATAGTTGGTTGAATTCAGAGCAAAAAGGGAGAGAAAAGGAAGTGGTGGAGTTTTCAATTATGAGAAAAACTCAGACTGAGATTACTGCTTGTGGCCATCATACAACGTTCTTTCGTTCTTCTTTTGGATTAAAATACTCCAAAAAAAAATCAAAATTTGTTATAAAAAGATGCGCGCTTAAAGATGGAAATGCGCTTAACTGGGTCTAATCCTGGTGGCAACTTTTAATCGGATTTTGATGAAATATAGAAACTAAAACGCTTATGCAGGGATGTTTAGAAACCATTTTTTTTTCTGAAACATTTAGTCCAAAAATTTGTGGTACCTAGTTTTTGCTATATGCACCTAAATCAAACACTATTCCAAATTCTTCCGGTGGTGCCAAACTATGCTGTTTTTTAAATGTTCCTTTTTTCAGGGCTTTTTTGAGTTTGGATGCCATTTCTAAATTTGTAATCAAAAAAATTTTGTTATCTGTTTTTTGTATAAAAAATCCATGCTCGAATTGTTTTCACTAATTTTTTTCTCAAGTGAAGCAAACATTAGTACCAGTTTAGGGCAAAAACCTTTTTTGTTCATTTTTTAAGAGTCAATGAACGCAGTTCAGAACTCTTATTTAGATCGTGATGATTTTTTTTCGGTTTTTTTTTCAGAAAAAACCTTTGAATGCTCTAAAAACAAAACAAAATGCCTTCAAACTCATAAATTTAGACATGATTGGTCTTAGGTGTACTTGCAACTTTGAGTTCAAGTCAAGTTCAATTGGTAGAAGGTAGACAAAATGCACTCTCCAATTACCCAGCGAGATAAACTTTTCCTAGTAATTCAGGTTTCTCAAATTGTGTTAATTTATCAAAAAGGTGCCAATTACAAATTGCTCTTGAAATTCAAAGATATTTAAGGTCATATGATTTTTTATTTAAAATTCGAAAGTTGAAGTTTTTCAAAAAAGTCTGCGAATTTCAAATTTCAAATTTGCGAAGTTTTTCAAATTTTTTTGCGTTTCATTGCTTTCACTGTTTTTTTTTTCAACTGTCTCTTGGCTATATTTTTGCTTTCGCTTAGATGGGTTTGGTTGGTTTGACGATCTAACTCTTTTATCTAAATGAAAATTGCAGACTTTACGTATCGGCTTTGTAATTTTTCGATATAATTTAACTTTTCGCGTTGTGTCTTTTTTAATTTGAATTTTAATATTGATTAGATTTTTTGTGGTTTTCCAATTTTCAAATTAAAGTAACGTTTGTTTTTTTAAATATTTTTGTTTTAAGAATCATTGATTTTTTTTCTTCAATTTTTTTGTTTTATTTACTTGTCTTGGGTCATTTTTTACTGTTTATTTGTATTTTCAATCTTTTTTATTCGAAAAAACACTCCGAAAACAATAAATTTTGGATTTTTTCATCAATTTGACAAAAGTTTTCCTCGGTTGTCTTCTGAGCAAGTTAATGCATCACAGCCAAAATAAAATATTGATGGAGTTCGACTGATCGTGCTGCTTGTATTGATTTTTGAAACAATATTTGCTGTAATTTTTTGTTGCTAAAGATAAACTTGCGATACGCAACAATTTTTTTATATTATCGCCATTTTTCTTTTAATTTACAATTTGCTGCAGCACAAATAGTGTGGAGCTCAGCTCTGCCTCTATGTTAATTGTACTCTTGACTAAGATACTTCCGATCAAAAATGTGCTGTTCCCAAAATGTTTTGCCCACGCTTGCACCGGTGCAAACTGAAATTTGATTTTGAATGAGCAGTCTGGTAGACTGGTACTTTGGGCGGAAGAACCGCACAGCTCTGTAGCTTTAATGGCCCTGTCAACTTAAGCCGAGTCGAGTTACTTTCAGTTCAATTGGAAGTCTTAGTCTGCTAGCGGCAGAGACAAAATTCAATTTCCACAATAGTTAGACAAAACCATTCTAAACACGCCTCCACATATACATGAACTAGCACGCCTTCGGCAAGAATAAAACCCTAGTCACAGACCCGAATAAATTAGCCACACAGAGAAATTTTTTGGCCACGCTATTTAAGAAATATTTTCTAAAATAGGAGCAACCTTCGTTTTTGTGTAATTTTGTTGACGGCACTTTTTTAGTGATTGAACGATTTCATTTCGCTGTTGAATCACTTTAGTATATTCCGGGAATTTCGAAATGGAATTGATATTACGCAATCAATGTTTAGCTTGGTCGGCTAAGCTATACTCAAAAAGAACCCCATTCACCCAGTGTGTATTTATAGTCCTCTCCTAAAGCAGACATGGGCTTTTCCTTTCACATTACAGGAAACCAAGCATATAATAAGGAAAGAGCAGATATACTTGTGTAGGAGGAATAATGGCATGAACAGTCTAGTCTATGGGAAATTGAGGGAGGGATTGGGCACATATTTATTTTCCAATCAGGCAGTCCCCCCGCATTATTCAGGTATTTTATTTCCCCAGACGGTTCTCCCTTATTGCCCTTGGCTGTATTATCTGCATATCGTGCTAACATCCGATTTAAAAAACGTCCGAAAACTCGAAAAAGTGTTACAAAACATCGAAAGTGTTACAAAACACCAAAATAACTTTGTTGGTATAGAGGAAGACACTATTAATTTTGGTGCAAAAAAAAACAAGATTACCAAAAATTGTCGCCAGGAAATTGTTTTGAAAACAGGTGCAGCAGCTGAATATAATCATCTGGCGTGTTCTTTTATGTTATCTAATTTATTGCAAGTTATGTAATTTTATTATTAAGTTATGTAGCTCTGCTAGTATGTAAATCGGGTGTGTCCACCCATCATCGTATCTGAGCAGCATCGGATAGCTGCACAAGGTACTTCTAAAATGTGTTACGCTTTGAGTTTATTTGGAAAAATCCAGGAGGCGGATTAGAACCCATTTTTCCTGATCAGACACAAGAGACGGAATAGTTTCCCCGTCATACATGAACGCGCAGCAGTTGGAAGGTAAAACAAAAGTCCATTACTTATTGATTGTCTGTCTTTCATTCAGACTCTCAAATCCCAGCTGGCATAAAAGTGATATGATAGAAAACATTGGTGAGACAAGAATGTTTTTGGAGCGCCGGCAGATATGTCGAATATATTTACAATTTTTATGAATAAATTTCTTTTTTTTAAAATTTTTAATAACATTAGGGAAGTTTTCAGCCGCTGGATGCTTAAACCCAAACTTAAACCGACGTTTAAATCCAAAATTTCGAGGTTGAAATTATGTTGCATGTTAAGTTTTGAGGAGGTTGGTAGTAGAAATTTTGTGGTTGAGGCCTTTCAGCTTTGTTGCCGCATTAATTTCTTTTAAACGAAAGCTCGTAGAAATATACTGCTGTCCATTTTATCTCGTATCGGCATATTTAGCGATCGGTCTAGCGGCTGAAAAGGAGTGAAGCAGGCCCAGTGGCTGGTAGACAAAATTTATGTTTGACAGTTTATTTAAATTATCCACTGACTAGGCCTGTTTCCAGCAGCGCAGACATGAATACCAATTTCACTAACTCGTCGGCAAGGTCACAATGCTTTAGACTAAACATGCTCCAAATAGGAATATAATAACAATAAACACTTGCAGAAATATGCTTCTTACAAAATATTAAGGCTAAATTACGCGTTTGATTTGAAAGTACAGGATATGCATCGAGTCCTTTGATTACACTTGCAAGAGCCAGCGTGTTACCATCGGGTACGGCACTTTTTCCCCGTGAATAACTTAGTTCACAGGACTAATCTCATTGAGGCTTTTGTTAGAAATTAAGTACAACAGATGTTTTTGGAGCATGTTGCGCATAAATACCCGTTCTATTCGAATTTTCCTCCCTTCGAAATTTTATTTAAGAACCCTGTTCTTTTCGAAAATTCTTTTCATCTTGGTTGTAAAGTTATCGGCCAGCTCCTTCTTTGTAATTTTGTTTTCATTTTTTAAGTTCGATGGCTTGCTCGACTTTGTTTATTCGATAAATATTTTTAGCATCTACTAAATTGTCATTTGTTGGGCAAAAAAAAACGTATTCATATGCTGGAGGGGACTCCATTTTTTAAGCTACCCTTTTTTGGACTTTTTTCTGGAGCAACAATCATCTACTCAAGTACTTTTGGCTCAGTTTTGTAGATTTCGTTGTTATGCTAGACTAAGGTCGATATTTTTTTCTCGACAATAGTTATCATCCTTTTTTCTCAAAAACTTTTTTTGACCTTGATTAAGG